AAAATGCACAGGTGCTCAGCCGTCCCTGCCCTGTATACTCTGATTCTTATTTTTTATTTAGTAGTATGAATTTTATTTTTTGTAATTATTTCATCTTCCTAGAAATAAGATAAGCAGCTTTTGATGGTGACATGCACCATCTCAGGAGAATACCTGTGCAGAGTTGGAGGGTTAGAGACAGTACTGACCCTCAAATCCCACCATTCTTTTCAAGCTTAAAGCATATTATTGCAAGGTAAGAAAGTAGAATTGGTCCTATTGCATTTTTTTACCTCACTTGAGACCCACTACTTGTACACCGTCTGGGGATTTGACCCATATTCTTCACTTCTTCACTGGGTGTTCTTTTTAATCAGCTTTGGAGCTGTGAAGGAATTGTAGTGTAAAGTAATTATAAATCCTAAGTGCATTCCCAAACAGCAGACATGGAGGTGTGAAAATAGAAAAGTAGTGGGTTTTAAACAGAAGAAAGTCATTCACTGAAAAAGTTCTGTGATGCAAAGCCCATGAGCCAGCCCCAGGCATGACTGCCCCTCTATCACTGTATTTTGGGGAGCAAGAGCTTCATCAACAGGCATGTTTGGACGAATGTCTCTAATACACCACCGTTAATGAAGAGATGAGAACAAATGAACCTTGGTCACCGTACGTGCTCATTCAAAAACTTATGCAATCATAGCCAAGTCTTCTGGGGATGTTAGTTGCCATTACTGGAAGTGATAGCGCTATATACACCAAAAGGCAAAAATTCCCCTGTTTAGGGCTTTTACATCCAGCTTCAGCCTGGCAGCAGATTTGGTACGGACACAAGATTTGCTGTAGGAAAAAGCAGTAAACTGGTTTTTACCTCTCTTAGATGGCAAGACACTTAGAAGAGCTTCTTCTGCCTCTAAAGAGGCTGCTGCTTCCACTGAGCTGCAATAAAAGTTCTCTCCTTACCCCAAAGCAGATGACAACTTTCTATTGCTATCAGATTCGGGTTTATTTTCTTCTTTCCTAAAAGGATACCAGAGTTTTCCTTTATCTCAACCAGCTCTTTCTTTAAAACTTTATGGAGATCCTTCCTGACAGTGGTAATAGGGAAAATTAGAGACATATGAAGTCTATTTGAACTTAAAACTGATGTGTGGAAAACCAAGGGTCTTACTGTAATTCCTTGCAAATTTTTCCCCAAGTAAACACCAGTCTGATACAGAGCACATAGCAAAGCAGCAAGTTTCCTACAAGAAAACCCAACAGTGTAAACTAACCTTGAGACGTAGGAGACTAATACATAAAAACTGCAATAAGACTGAGAAAAGTAATCCTAACCATGGAGACTTCTAGAGAATTTACTATGTTATGGGAGCATGCTGCCAGCTGACATGAAAGCCTACTACAAAAGCCATGAGTGAGCAGTCTTCTTTAAAATTTAATCACAAAACCATCTGGGAGATCAAGAGATGCTGCTTCTCTTCTGAAGGGAGCTGGTGGCTGGTCAGGACCTGGAATGATATACTCGGTGCTTGCTCTCAGCTGAAAACTAGATCTGTGAGGCTACAAGAATGAAGGGGAAAGTCAGCCTAAACTAGAAAAGAATTTGACTGAAGAAATCATAACAGCAGAGGGTTCTTTTTCTTTGTGTGGGGATGGGGAATATCATGAGTCTCATTGCAGCTGACCAGCTGCCATGGTAGCTTTGTGGTACTTCATCAACCCTGGGTAACCACATAGACTGCCTCTACTGCAGTTCCTGCTGTGCAAAATAACTACAGAAGCCAACTTTAGATTAGTTAATATCTAATTTAAAGGAGAATAGTAGTTCCTAACTGCCCTCTAATGGAGTTTGTAACTTACCTTGCTTCTCAGGCAAGTTTTGCTGCTGTGCTGACACGGCTTATCCGAGTGTTGTGTTTAAAGGTGATTTGGATATGTCTCCTCTGCATTGCAGGCAATGCAATTCCAGCTTGCATTTTTGTCCCTAACTTCCCTGATAGGGGTCAGGAATCAAGCAGTTTTCATCCTGTCACTGCTGTCGCAACATCTCATAACCATAAACAGGCCACGTAGATTTGGACTTGACTCTTCACGTTTCTGAAAACAGCAGCCTGAGCTCCCCTGTTCTACACTCCAAAATAAACACAAAAAGGAAGATTTGACCTCAAAATGCATTAAATATTCAGTAATAGATGGAGCTTCTGAAAATCAAATGTAATGCCTGATGTCTTTCTGCATCTTGTTTTAAGGCCTTCTCAGAGACCCTTGACTATTTGGACTTGGGCACTACCACATCTTGACACACTTAGGGGGCTGAGAGATTTTGATTAATAGCATGGGTAACTCCTTATCATTGTGTTATTCACTCAGTCTTAGAATATCTTTAAAAGATGGGCACCATGGGCGTATCATTTTACGAATGGTAAAGTTTAGGCTATAGAAAATTAAGTGTTTTGTCATAATCAGAGAGTGGATGGCAGTGGAATCTCACACCTTCTGCTTAGGTGCGAGATTACGTAACTATTTTTTACTGCTTTGAATGTCATTTTCAAGTAGAACATAAGAACAAATGTACCAGGTCAGGCCAGTTATCCACCCAGATTAGTCTCTTTTTGTACCAACTACCAGTAACACAAGTACAGGGAGTAGTGTAAGAACAGGACAAGAACATAAGGATGTTTCCCATTGTACTGTCCCAACCTCCATCACTTTGTGGCTCACGTACTGAGCTAAAGCTGGTATTTGGCAGACCGTGATGAGCTTTTCTCCCAGCATCTTGTCCAATTGCATTTCAAATCCAAACTTCTAGCACATACAGAGGCACCTGTTCTGCTGTTTAAGAATATATCAGAAGTATTTCCTCATATTTTTTTTGAGCCTCCCACTGCTGCTTTCATCTGATGCTCCCTTTCCTGTTTGCCATCTCCATTCCATGCCTGATTTTGTAGGTGTCCATCATATCCTTTCCCTGCAGTCATCTTTTCGTAAACCGAAGTGTTACTCCATAACAATCATCCTTAGCAGCCTTTTCTGCATCTTGTCTAGTTTTATTGAGTCCTCTTCGAGGCTGGTCAGTAGAAACCCTTGGTCATCTACTGCAGTGTATAGCATCGACTCACATCTGCACCTCTGTATTATGAAGCCTACTTTGAGCACAGCCCATAAGTGACCAGTTAGGCAGGACAAGGATAGTCTGTCTAACAGATGGGAAAATTATAAACCTGAAAAATCTTACGATGTGATTTATCTGTCTGGAAGGTTTAACTCAATAGCTGGAAATTTTTTTTGCAAAGAAAGGGCAGAGAGCAATCAATGAAGACAAATTCAACTGCACAAAAAAGCCTACAGTAAATTAATTACCTGAAAAGTGGAGTTGTGTATTTATTATTTCCTTGGCTTGTGTCTAACTATCTAATCAGTCTTTGTACATGTCAGCAGCACATCCATAATAAGAAAGTGCTGTGTGGAGTGTGTGAACTGGAATTAGAGATGTGATAATCAGCCAAACCGTTGGAGACAATGTAAAGGCTGCCTGGCATTTGCATTCCTCTAACTGAGGAGAAAAACCTTATATGTGCAAATGAGTTGTTGGGTGGCTTTTTTTCCTTCCTGGTATGTTGTAACCATGGGCAAATTGCTCTCAGAGCAACACTTCCCCCGCAGCATGCCAGGTCACACTGGAGTGCCTCCATGCCTGGTTAGACCTGTTCCAGTATGGTGGTGACAGCTGTGCTGTATTCAGTTAGTATGCGAGGTGATGTGGCAGATAGAGGCATATAGAAGTATATATGCCATAGAAAAAAAAATGCTGATGGATGGGTAGGCCTACAGTTTTATGATGAAGAGATCACAGCTGTGATTAGAAAACCTAACTTCCCACATGTACAATTCTGATAATACTGATACATCCCATCAAGATGTTGTGAAAGTAACAACTACAAAGGGAGACTTACTTTGTGATCCTCATAGTGCCTCAATGTCCTAAACTGTTATTGATTCCTTAAGTAAGCAATCTGCCTGTCTCCTGGTTATTCTGGCCAGCCTCCAGATTTTCTGTCTAAATCCTCCTTGGCTTGTATCTTCCCATATTCTGATTAGCATCACAGTTACAAGGTTATCAGGGTATAAGGAGAGACTGAAAGCAAAAGGCTGATGTTGCAGAGGGAAGGTGTGAAGTGCTGAGGGGATAAAAGCAAGGTTAGAATTGATGAGTAGGACAAGTTCAGCAAAGTCTGATCCTAAATCTAATAGCAGCTCTGAATGGCTACCAAATCTTCCATGCCTGTAGGAGGAGAAAAGCCACTGGTATGCTACTATTCAGTCCCTGTGTTTGGCCCCTGCCCGTACTAGTGTCCCTGCTTGCTGTGGCAAAAAAATGGGGCAGAAATAGGTGAGACATGAAAGGTAAAGCTTGTTCATTTTAAAGATTTTTGTGACAAGAGCTTTTCTGACATACTCCCTAGAGCAGACTCATCAAAGCTATTCTTTAATCTATATAGTTTTAAGCCATTCCTGGAAAATGACATTGCTCTATAAATGAAGAGCATTCTTCTCCTCCCAGCAGCTGTTCATCAGCTAAATTGAGCTGGCAGAAACTTTGCACGTTTTAATAGTTCAGATAACCAAAAGGTGAAGTGCCAGCTCACCTGCAGGGAGAGCATGTCCTTGCTGGGTTACACAGCCCAACGCATAGACCCTCCTGCTCTGAAAAGCTGGATATTTAATTCCTCAGGACTACAACTTGAGAGGGAGACAGAAAAAAAAGTCCTGTATGCAGGCCTAAAGGCACCTGGGAGAGGTCTGTATCCCTTTTTCAGTTTCTAAACTTCAGGCTCATTATTCCAGAGCAAACTTGCTCAAGGCTTAGACCATACTAAATGCTGTGTTTAAGTGGCAGGTGTAAGAGCTCATCCCAGCTCAACAGGCATTTTGAAGAACAGGAAACAGGAAGAGAGCTTTAATGCCTGCAATTTAGGAGACAGTTTGAAGAGCACATAGTTAAAGACACAAGAACACACTGTTCACTGATGGATTGGAAACAGGAACTCATATGGAAATCTTGAATTTATTCCATAATCTAGCAGCAGAAGGAACGTTTCAGGACAAGAGATGCAGGGAAAGCTGATTATGTTCTTTGCAATAGTATTCTTCATCAAAGACACTGTGGAGATGCCTTCTTGTTAAACAGGAATATGAGAATATGAGATGACAGATGTAGCGGTACACTGAAAGAGTAACGAGTCACAGCTCTGTGTTGCTTACTTGGGCATTGTGAAGGATGTAAGAACAAAACAGCTGAACTGTATTCAAATGCAGTATTGTGCAGGAAGGTGATATGATGATGCAGACTGGTTCCCTTCTTGCTCTCAGACCTCTTTTGAACCTTGAGAAAAGACCTGACAAAAGAAATCTGACTGGTGCAATTTTAGAACCCCTTATGAGAGGCTGTAACAAGAAGAAGAATATCTGTAGCAGATGAAAGTTGGAGTTGTCTTCACTGCACTGGTAGCTTGAGGTTCACCCCAGCTGACTCCTGCTCACATGCAGGAGTTTTTAACTTGGATTAAGAGATGCTTTAAAGTTGAGCTGCTTTGCTCAGCAGGGAGTGGGTTTCTGCTGACACTCAAACTAGCAGGGAGGGGGCAGCTGAACCACGGGGGGTTGCTGCTGCTGCTGCTCAAGTCAGTAGACCTTTTTCTTTTGCTCTCATTCACAGGGAAAAATCAAGTCTAGTAAATCCTGGCTAACAGTGCCGGTGAAGACAGCTTCCACAGGACAGGGCAGGAGCACAAACAGACCATTTTCAATAGGGTAAGATGGGTAACAAGGGGCTGTCATGAGAGAGCGTAGCAGGACTGGTGTTAATAATAGGAGAGGTTGAAAAAGACCAATTGGATATACACAGAACAGTTTTAGTGTTACTTACCCTAGACAAATTTTGCCAAAATATTTCAATTGAGGGGTTTTATTGCACTAGCAGTTCTAAAGAGTCTGTAGGATCCATTTTCTCTATCTGTCATGATGTACCATGGTCTGGGATAGCAATAGCGTGTTCAGTCTTCATTCCACCTTTTCACAAAAGATGATAAGCCTGAGACACAGAATGCTGAAAGAATTCAGCCAGGATGGATTCAGTATCAAAACCAGAACTGAAAATTTTAAGTTTGCTGTTTCAAATTGCACTTCTCTGCTCGGACAAAGGGAATGTTTCTACTGACTGGCTCACCTTTGGCAGCATAGTTTATGTCTAAAACATGCTCCTCTTGAAGTTAGTGTTGCTGATCTCCTCCTTTTCCCATGCATGTTTGCATCATATAGCTCATTTGCCCTACTTGTTGCTTGGGAAGACTTTTGAGGGTAGGACAGACAAACTATCTCTCTTACTTGGGTTACAAAGCAAGTAACCCAGGGGCTGACTTGCTCTAAGATGCCTTCAACTGTATCACTGTCAGTCTTCTGTTTATGTATCCAAAGACAGTGTTTTGTGCTTAGCTATCTTTATCCACACGACTATCTTCAGGTCTCCTATCAGTATGCGTTTTCACTTGGGTTAGTGCATTTGCAGAGGTCTTTGCTCATTTTTCCAATTGAAATAGGTTTATGAAAGGCATAGGGACAAACTGAGACTTCCTGCTGAGCAGTGATTTAGTTACTAATGGTAATATTTTGGTAATTAGAAGGTTCTTTTTAAAAAACTTCACCAAATCTTTAATAATTATGTGCTTTTTGTAAATCATCTTTTTAGCTTTATCTTTTTGTGGAAAGGACATTATTTCAAATAATGATCAACCATAGCATTAAATGGAGACTATCCTTGTTTTTACTTTCTTCAGATTACTTTTATCTCCCAGCAGCACTGTATGGGTTCAGCTTTGTAATGTGTCACATACTCTGACCCATATGGTCCTATTAACCATAGTGGGATTATGTTCATGTGGTTGGTCTGGTCCCAGGTGCTTAGCACTTGAAGGAGCATGAGAACACGTATGAAAGAGGAACATACACATGCAGTTGTCCTGTAGTACCAGCAAATTCACCAGGGTTATCCTGAGTTGCATTAAGATTAAACCTTTCAGGCTGTGTGGATTTTTTCTGGAAACATTGAACATTAGGAATTTGTGCAGGCCCACGGCTGTTTGTGTTCGTCTCTGAGTATTCATAAACCAGTAATCTGGTACGGCCATACCTGGTACATGTGCGTACATCCTCATGCACCCACATACAGTCTCTGTAAGGGATCTGAAACCTTGGAGAAGTTCTGGGGGATGCTCCATCCCCTACACAGCTTCTGTTGTCTCACAGCACCTTCATCCAGCTGCCCTGTGAGGATGCAGGAAAGAGGACTGGGCAGCCCCTGCTTTGGCCAGGCAGGATTTCAACCAACTTTCCTTGTCCTGGTAAAACCTCACCAGTAGTAGCTATGAAAATTGAATTTATTTTTTGCTCATCTGTTTCAGGAAGAGATTTCAAGCACCAGAGCGGAAGAACCATGCAATTAGTGTCTGTGAGAAAGATAAAGCCAAAAGATAATGAGGCCTCCCTTGAAATGAGAGCACATCATTGACTCCAAGATGAACTCACACCTCATTCATCCTGATAAAGGCCACTGCTCTTTTTCTCATAGAAACATGTATCTAGGACAGAAAGCGTTAACAAAAAAGCCCATCCACCCCTTGTGATTTCATTGCAGTTACCCATGTTTGACACATGGGTGCAGTGATTTTTGTGTATGTCACAATTAAAAGCACAACTTGGAGTCTACATGCTCGGGACAGAAAATCTGTTTCTGTAATGGTTTCAAATGTTCCAGGTAATTATTCTGAGGGGGGCTGTCCCACTTTAAAGCTCTTTCTCTTCCTAAGGCCACACAAGCAAAGTGGAAAAATAGTATGATTATACTTGGGAAATGGGAAGAAAGTCCAGAATAAGCTAACTGAGAAAGCCCATTTCTCTGCACTAGCTTTTGGTTGTGTCAGAAGGGAGAGGAGTGGGTAAGAGCAAGCATAGAAATTCAGGCAGAATGGGATTTTTGTAGGTAGTATGTTCTTTAATGTGAGATTATATTTTGGTTTTGGGAAAACTAAACTGATACGTGGAATAACCCTTAATTTCACAATGATGGCAGATTTTGCTGAGCACACAAAGAGGAAACCAGCACATTTTTAATGAACTTCAGTGGCTCACTTGGAGGAAATCTGATGGGCTGTGTGAGTGTGTCTGTCTCTGACAGGCTGTGATTACGTACAGCCACTTTGCAGGTGTACAGGGTAGGCTTTAATTGAGTTAAATCAGGTAGCCCTTTCAGCCAGCCACCTGCATAAATACCCCAAGGTGCTGGCAGGCTCAGTGACTGCATGGTTGCAGTTTTACACCTCTTGGTTGTGGTACAGACATGTTCTTTGTCACAGTCAGCATGTTGTTTGCCCAAAAAATGTGTTCTATGGTGAGATTTAAAAGGATGCTCAAGAAAGTCTGCTGCTGGATTTCAAATGACTGGGATTGCCGTATCAGATCAGGGTGTTAATGTGTACACTGCTTAGAACAAGAGAGGGGAAATGAAGGGTTTATATTTTGTTCCTTGATCAGAGCTTGCTGAGTGATCTTGAATAAATCAGATAAAAAAGTTCCCATTCAGGTGTTGACAGATCACTTCCTAAAGCCCCTAGGAGATGCCCGAACGGTCTTCACCAGTACAGGGTGTCCTCAGCAACCTGTGACTCCAGTGACTCCTCAGTGCCTCAGCTACTGCACTTAGGCAGTTATGTAAATTAATTCTATGGATTTGGGTGTCAGGTCAAGTTTACAGTTCTTGCCTTAACCTCTCTGTTACCCAGCTAGCAAAACCCGTGGAAGTAAGAGCCCCTTACTTCAAGGCTGTGTTTGGTAAGAGCACTAAATGTGGAGGGAAACCTTATTTTGCAAGAATCTCACTGTAATCACCACTATCACCAATCTTCTCTAATTTGATTTACCTGAACTATCAACGTCTGATGCACATTAATATAGGATGATGATCTGAAGGTTCATTCATCTGAGATGAATATGAAATGCTGGTTGATGCATTGTAAAGCTTTGGAAAAGGAGATAGTATTTTTTCTCCCATGTAAATTTTTGCTGCATCTCCAGTGAGTTTTGAATCATGCTGCAGTTCTGAGAATGAGTCTGCAAATGCAGTGTCCTCTCCATAAGTATTTCCGTAGGGGGAGGCAGCGGTACTGGAACTCGTGGACTTTATTTTACCAATGCAGTCACTGAAGGAGAGGCAATACGCTGCCTGCAGTCCAGAAGTCAAAGGCATGCTGACACTTCCAGAAAGGAGGTGTTGGTAGCACAAGCAGTAATGCAGTATGTCACCAAACGAAAGAACAACCAAGAACAGTTTTTTCCACCTGAAACAGATTTCCGAAACTTTTCTGAAGGAGCAGGAGGTGTCAGACTCACAAAACTGGAAAGAAAAGAGCTGAAACTTTGAAAGTTGGTTGGGTTTTGGTTTTTATTTTCTGTTTCCCTGTGTTTCATCTGTGTGATTTAATGGGCTGTGGAAAGTATGTGGGTGAGTTCTCACAATGTAATCCACCTATAAAAAAATTCTAACTGGTCCTGTCAGTGCTCATTAGCTGACATACAGCTTCCTTCATCTCAGCCTTTCATCTCCCGATAGAAGCGGTTTCCAGGTGGAGCCTCTGGGCTGGTTTCCTGTCTTGCCTTCTTTGGCACATGCCAAGCGTGACTCTTCCAAAAGCGGACTCAGTGTGAATCAAGTTCATATGGTGTCCCTGCCCATGGCAGGGGGCTGGAACTAGATGATCTTTAAGGTCCCTTCAAACCCAAACCATTCTAGGATTCTACACTTGAGCACTGGTGAGAACCTGAAATATATGAACTCTGGGTCACAAACTTGTAGGCTTTCAAGCTCCCATGCTTTTATTTTATTTATAAAGTACATGTGATTAGGCTTTCCTGTTGGCATATGATTTATACCCAAATACTATGCCAGGTTAGGCACAGTATCTTAGATGTGTTCAAGAAATTGTGCTTTAACTGGTGATGCATGCTAGTCTAAAGCTATGTGGCTGTGCACAAGTTACTGGTGATAGACCAGGTATGTACTGTCTAATGATACAACCCATTGTGCTTTTCACTGAGTTATTCTGTACCCATCTGTTATTAATGCTGTAAGTAAATGTAGGTTTTCATTGTATGAAAGATCACAGCAGAATTTCTGGGCTTGGCTCTTCAAACACTGTAAAGGCTTCCTCATGCAAATAACTAATACACTGAGGGGCCATTCCTAGCAATAAGTGCTTCTATCAGTTCTAAGGAATTCCATTTTGTTCTGCATAAACCTGGCCCTACAAACAGGACAGGGAGAAAATCATCTGTCCTACTGGGATTACAGAATTCAATTTTTTATAGGGGATGATGCTGAAATATGGCCATGGAGACAGATGAGTCAGAGGTGGCAAGGCAAAGGGACTGCAGGGCAGAAATGTCCCTCCTTACTTCCCACAATTGCATTTGCCTGGGATTGCTGTTACGTCTTCTTTTCTCACAAAAGATATAATGGGAGCTGAATTTACTTCTCAGCTTGCAAAGCATCCAATTGTACTTCCTATATTTCCACTGTTTAAAGCTTCATTTTTATTTTCAACCCTCATTAAAAGCACAGGGTTTGTCAGGCTGTCAGGCTGGGGAGCAGCATTTTATAGGACTAAATGTTAAATTCTTGGTTCTGTTTGGAGTATTCAAGCCTGGTAGTTATCTGTAGATGGCTGACAAACACTAGCTTGTCTTCAACTGCTCTCACAAGCAGCTTTGCTTGATTTCCATGAGGGTTTATTTGGCAGCCACTTAGAGCTAAGAATACATTATCAGTCTCTGCCCAGATCCCCATAACTTGTAAATCAAGCTTATGCCTGGGCTGTCTAGAGGGAGCAAAGGGAGGAATCCCCTCTGTGGGCTGTGGAGCAGCAGAAATCACCCAGGGCCATGGTGAATGTTTCAGCAGCTGTGGTTGTCTTTGCCCCTTTGTGAGAGTATCTGTAGCCCTCCAGCATGGACACAGCAGCCATAAAGTTGATGGAAGGGAAAAAAGATTTGCTGATGCAAGCCTGCTCCTCATCCCAGGAGCATAGGCACCCAAAGGCCTGGCTGGGGAAGGGGATGGTTTGAACTCATCCCTCAGCAATGTTTTGGCTGGTTTAGCCCATCTCTGCCTGCGTCCTCACTGTGGAGTGCAACGACGTCCTTTGCAGAGCCTCTCTGTGGCCTGCCATCTCCATGCTGCCTTTGCCTTTTAAGGTTTTAAGGATACATTTCACCTCCATGCCTGGCAGCTTTGGCCATGGCAATAAAGTATGTGCTGAGTCCTCAGAATAGAGCAAGAAATGTGAAAATCAAAGGTTTAACCTCAGGGTGCTTCACCCAGGCTTGCTCTAAGCCCAGGTGTCTCTTTGCTATTGAATAGCATAAGATTTATCCCAGTATAGCAAGGCTGCCAAGCCACATGGCTTGGCAATCGGACATGCATGTGGATTACTCTGACACATTTAGAGAGGCACACCTACCAGGCATCATGTTTGCCTACATTTGAAATCATCTTGATTTAAACAAGAGGGATTGCAACATTCACTTTTCAGTCTCAGGCTTCAGGAGTGATTTCAACTAACAAAATGGTATCTTGACAAGCTTGAGAACTGTGTGACCATGTGAAATATAAAGGCATCACGGAAAGGCATCTCAGTGTGGCTGTGAAATGAGTGCGGCACCTTCTCAGCCACATTCCGTTATGTATTTGGTGGCTAGGATTTTAAGCAATGCTGTTATATGTAGTGGTAATCACTTTGATAAGTACTGGGTGAATTTAAAAGTGTTTTCACTCTTTCTAGGATTCCTCTTTCTGGTTTCTTACGAAGCTGAATTCCACAGTTGTTCCACTAAAGCACAAATACTCCTTGTGCTGACTGGTGCAACTGTAATTGTGTGTTCTCATTCTCCACATTATTGGTATATAAATGCTTCTATTTCCGCTGGTGATGTTTGTTTTTTTTTAATATCGTAGGCATTAAATCTACCTTTCTACTGCAGTTTCTGTAATACACCTTAGGGAACATTAGAGAGAAAGACTTTGTTTTCTTCTCTTTCTTGGACATGGCTTTATACTTAAGTCCCCAAAATCAACTTTTCTAAGAAGCAGTACAGTTTTACTCATAGGAAATCAGAAAGGTGTTCAGCCTGGGTTTTTACATGTAATAGTTACAAATCTGGGCTGTAAAACCCAAAGGTATGATTTTTGTCCCTATGATTTGCTTATGTACATATGTACAAATGAAGAAATACAGGTACAGGCAGCTGGATGTTGGCCTGTAAGTCTGGTAATTAATCAAATGTCACAGACAAAAAGAAATATTATCCCTTGTGATAACCTAGATAACAATACACACTGCTATAGAAACCTAAAACACATGCACGGAAAAGACTGCCTATATTTAAGAAGGGGGGGGGGGGGGGGAAATAACCCTAAATGCACTAGAGTTTAAGTGCCTTTGAATTTTGAAGTATTAGGGAGCAAAAGTGACAAAGACTATACCCATCCCTGGCAGTGTTCAAGGCCAGGTTGGACGGGGCGTGGAGCAACCTGGTCTAGTGGAAGGTGTTGGTCGGTTGGAATTGGATGAGATTTAATGTTTCCAGCCAAAACCATTCTGTGATATTAACCTATTGCCACACGTTCCATCAATTTTGGAGATGTGGAGCACGTATTTCAGTGTAGCTAAGATGATGTAATAGTCTATATTACATTTCTTTTTATGTAAAATCCAAGGGGCTTTGTCATTCATAGTGTCATATAGCAACTCATAAATTGCTGCAGTGTGGTAGGTAAGAAATGTCCCTAGCATTCACAGAAAGGGAAGTAGAATCAGATGAATCTACTTATTAGCTTGAGGAGCTGATATCCTCATTCATTTCCCTTTCTTTTATCACCTGTATCACTATTTCAATTAAACATTTACAAGTATTTGTGATCAGTGATTTTTGTGTTCATAACTCATAAGTACTTAGTAGTCTTATGATCACATTATGTACAATGTAAGTCTGATTCCTGCTTTGTAAATAGGTACAAATCAGGAGTAAGTTGAGGTACTCCTTTTGATATGCATGTATAAACAAGAAAAGAAATCAATAGCAATTTATGAAGCAGAAATGCCAAGTCTAAATGTATTGCAGTTTATTGAATCCATAGTCTCTCATGTCCCTGGCATCTGTAATCATTTTACTTTCTAAAAGCTTTCATTTTCTTTCTTTAAAAAAGGAAATGAAAATAAAAGATGGGGGTGGGGAGTTGTCCCCTTTCCTTGGAATTTATAACCCCTTCTGGGTGCAGAGAAATATTGGGAAGACTAAAAATCTCAAAAAAGAAAATGCAGATAGGAAAACCCTGACATATATAGTTTTAAATACCGTGACACTTTGAGGGTTTCGCTTATGCCATTTGAAACCATTATTACTGATGAACATAGTATGTACATACAGGTGCTGTGTTTGTTATAGTAAGACCACATGCATTAAAATAGCTCTATAGCTACAATGTAATTTTGTTTGTTTAATCCTGGGATGTGTCAGTAGAACCTAACCCAGAAGTTAGCTTCATTGTCAGAGTTGCATTACACTGACTTCACATAGACAGCCTTAGGCTTGGGACTTTGGAAATACTGGCTCGTTTTTGGTTGTGCAACATTCAAGCAAGGTAGCTGAACTGTGTGTGATGCCAATAAATGAATGAGTTAAAATTGGATCAGCTTGTAAAACATCCAAGTCTAATCCAGTGTTTTGGTAGCTCTGCTGTGGCCATATCAAGGCCACTTATAATAACACAACTACTGAAATGCTGGGTTATATTTACATTCCAGAGGGGAAATGGTTTGTTGGTGTTGCTATACCGTACTCGGAGTGCGAGATGCAGTGTTCATGCCAGCAAATCTGAACATACCCTGAGCAAAACAAGGTGCTTGGGAGCAAGTTCAGCTTGGCCTCTGTATAGTGTTATGACCAGCAGAAGCTAAAGTACTCAGAAGTGACAACCTTCCCTTCTGCGTGTAGTAAATACACACAGCCTAAGAACACAAGCCCAAGTTGCGTTGACTTATTAATGTATAAATGACCCCCTGTGAATCCCAGAGGGATTGTGAAGCGCTGAACAAGGGCAGCAGCTCAGTTTGTCAATTACTGAAAAAACCACCCTCAACTTGAGCAGAATGACTGGAGACCTCTTTAGGCCTGCTCACAGAAGTGGAGTTGGACCTCAGCATCCTCAGCCAGAAGGGGTGAGGTCTACATTAGAGGCAAGGCACAAAGATCCCCTGGGGTAGGGCTGGAGCAGGGGGAAATGAAAAGAGCATACCTGCTTTGTGTTTGAAATGTGTATGTCTTATAGATGCTAATGTAAGGATGAAGTTTTCATGACATTTCAAAAAAATGCAGCCTGCCTGAAGTGCCAACCTGTGCACCTATTTGGGAGAACTGGGGAGCCTGAGTGCCACTTGGAATAAGAAGGGATCAAATGAGACTCTTTTTCATTATCCAAGTGGATGAAATATATAGAAGATGGAAAGCAGATCAGATCAGAATGCTCCCTCAAGCAAGAAAGCTTGTCTTTAGGGGAAAAAAAAAAAACAACAACAAAAACAAAGCCATGATCAGCCACATTACAGAGACATCCCACGTGTCACCATTCTGATAAGCATGTGCTTTTCCCATGAATTTCTGTGCTATGTTCTGTTTTACATGTTGTCTTCAAGTTGGGCTCTCATGAAGCCAAATATTTGAGCAGGAGTCATCTCTGTGGTGTTACAGAGGTCTGATTAGCAGC